CGTCTGCGGCAGGCAGTTCCTTTGACAGGCCGTTCCGGGCTCTGTTGTTCTCCTATCCGCGATTTCATTGTTCCACCTGGGAATGTCGGGCATCCGAATGCGCCATCCTTTGCTACATTTGCCTGCAACAGCAAATTACAAATGCCTGGAGTTTGTCTCGAAGGAATATGTGTTGAAACGTCTGACGAAATACACCATTTCGACACCTGCAACTTTGTTTGGTCATGATGTTCTCATGGGAGGAACAACGATTACTTTATGCAGATCTTCTGACTCTGGATTAAGTCAACCCAGATTGATAGTCCGAACTTGCATAAACACGAGGATATGAAATCATCCCAGCCATCTTCATTTAGACCAATTTTGTACTAGTGCGCATGCTGCCAGAATAAATATATCAGCTGACGTAAGCTTCATTGATCAACGTGAAAATAGTGGACGTCAGCAGCAGCTTGTGCTAGATTACCTGTGCGATTAACCAAGCATCGTCGTGCTTAAGCTCAAAGACTAAAAAGCACTTTAATTGATGGTTTTTACATTGGTCATTCGGAGTGAGTGTGTGAAGATAGAGCCAAGCATCTAACGCGCATCATCATTGGACACAAGATCATCACGAAAGGCATCCACTCAACGCTAAAACCAAGTATACAAAGCATTCCCGTTTTGTGGAATCCTGTTCATTCATGGCTTCGTTAGCCTGGTTATGTAGCCATCGATAGGAAGCGGAGTGTGTGTGTGTGTGTTTGTGCTAAAATGTGACAAACACAGCAAGAGCAGCAGCACCTTGTGATCAGAACCACGTTCCGATGCATTTTAACCCTCGATTTCACCGCACAACCAAATTTCTCCCACACACGATCCACTTGCAAAGCTACTGCCTACGCAATACATTCAATGTGCAGAGTAGGTGTTTAAATGCATTTAGATCTGTGATTTCTTACCCACGCAAGTAATTCGTGATGTGCAGAGAAGTGCGGTCGCTCCGAAGTACATGCTACTGTAATTCGTGGGCAGATCCAGGATTAGAATAAACTTGATTCCGTGTGCTGTTTCGGTGGTATTAGGAACCAATGGAGTCTCTAATTGCTCACTTTCATACTATATTTAAAGTGAGTATTTACAGGAATGCATGAGTCTTGAGCACATGTTTTCAGAATGAGTCACTGAAAGTCATGGCCAAGTCCAAAAAATCAAATCGTGCTTCAAATGCATGTCATAGGCTAAAAAAATTGTTGTCGTTGGCCGACAGTCAGAGTTAGCTGTAGTGTTACGGAGACAGTGCCCAAAATTCCCATTTAGGGCCATGAGATAGGCAATTGGTATGAACAGCAGAACCTCTAATGGCTCCCTGAAAGGACATTTAGCTGAGATTGGAGCAAGATCTGCTTCTTCTGTGTTGGCAAAACAATGATCTTCATTTTGGAGGAAATATCCAAACAGATCTGCTTTTCACAAGAAAGCCGTAGATGTGGTTAATGCTTCATGAAGTGGCTTGGCTAAGGTGCGGCTCATGGCTTCATCACGTAACCGAAACTTGCTTAATTTTGTGCTTGAATGAAGCTTTTCCATAGATGGACTTTTTTTTGCAAGAGGACACCTGATCTAAAATGGAAGATTTGAGCGTTTTGCGTCTCTTCTAACAAACATCATTACTTGAATAAAGGGTGCTGCGTTGGATTACTATTTGATGGTGCTGATGATATCATCACTTCACTAGCTAGAGTTGAAGGCTACACTGCTCTTAAGGCCTGCAGCTGATTTTGAATTACAGTCTTGATACGGAGGTCAACACCATCGACCTCTACGGTAACTGCACTGTCCATCATTCCGGCACATCAGCGGCTGCTCCTGAAGCAGCGGGAGTTCTCGCCTTAGAACTCGAAGCTAATCCAGAACTGACATGGCGTGACATGCAGCACTTGGTAGTGCTCACTTCCAAACGCAATCATCTCTACGATCGAGAGGGCACTCACAACTGGACCATAAATGGAGCTAACTTGGGGTTCAACCACCTCTTCGGATACGGCGTTCTAGATGCCGGTGATATGGTGAGGATTGCAAAGCTCTGGAAGACGGTGCCTGAGCGCTTTCATTGCATCGCAGGTTTCTTCAGTGATCGCAAGGTAGTCACGGTGGGAAAGCCAATTCAGCAGGAGCTATTCACTGAATCTTGTCGTGACAACCCTGAAAGCCAGGTGCGAGTCCCTCGTCGGCAAATTCGGTTACTTTTTACTTGGCCCAATTCAACACTGTATCTTTCTGATTTACTTGAAAGAAACAGTAAACCAAACAAACCGAATGGCAACCTTGCATAAACAATTTGCCGTTCCTTGAAGACGGTATTTACACCTTCGAGACAGGCACTACACATTAGGAACAACTGTCGTGGGTTAATTTAACATAAATGACCATAAAACCACAAATGAGGGCAAAACCGAACCAAGAATCACCTCCTGAAAGAACCTTACGTAAACACCGTTGAGTGCACTGCTGTTCGTTGTAGCTTATCATTCAATCAGCTATACCTAATTGTATATTTGCACTTAGGGCAACGTGACGGCATCTTTAATGATGTGATGAACTAGCTGGACCTCTGGTTTACGAGCTAGTGTCCTAAACTGAAATTTCGGTACTGTATGTCTCGGTTTCATTGGACGCTATGTCCACAGCCTCTCACTCAAGCATTCTTAATAGTGGTTTCAATTGGCAATCGACAGACATTCTATCGGTGTGCGAAAGAAGCTCAAACATCCACTTGCGGTTACTAGCGCCAAAAAGCAAATATGTGCACTTGATGTCAATGGAGGCTGATTTATCAATCATGCAATAGTTCAGAGGGAGGTGTTATAATTGGATTAACAAATTAACTAATCACAAAGTCAGTCATGAAATGGGTTAATAGGTTGCTTGTTAACAGAATTGTATGCCAGTGAACGCAGCAAACTTCGACAATTGATTTAAGAAGCTGCATTTATTGCCAAGGAAACATTC